AAAAAAAAAAAAAAAATTCTGTAGATAGGCTGGGTGCGGTGGCTCACACCTATAATCCCAGCACTTTGGGAGGCTGAGGTGAGAGGATTGCTTGAGCCCATGGGCTCGAGACCAGCCCAGGCAACTTGGCAAGACCTCTTCTCTACAATAATTCAAAAATTAGCCGGGCATGGTGGTGTGAGCCTATATAGTTCCAGCTATTTGGAAGACTGAGGCGGAAGGATCACATGACCCCAGCAGGTGGAGGCTGTAGTGGCTGTGAGTGTGCCACTGCACTCCAGCCTGGGCGACAGAGTGAGAGACTCCAACTCAATAATAATAATAATGGCCATGAGTGTGCCACTGCACTCCAGCCTAGGCGACAGAGTGAGAGACTCCAACTCAATAATAATAATAATAATAATAATAATAGCTTATCACACACATTGTGTGTTAGTATATTACTTCTTATCATTGTCACAATACTGTCACATGGTGGGAATTTTTTTTTTTTTTTGAGTCAGAGTCTCACTCTATCACCCAGAATGGAGTGCAGTGGCACCATCACAGCTCACTGCAGCCTCGAACTCCTGTACTCAAGCAATTCTTTCTCCTCAGCCTCCTGAGTTGGTGGGACTATAGGCACATGCCACTGTGCCTGGCTAATTTTTTTTCCTACTCTTTTGTAAAGACAAGGTCTCACTATGTAGCTCAGACTGGTCTCCAGCTTCAGGGATCAAGACAATCCCAGAGTGCTGGGAGGCATACGCCACCACACCAGGCCCCTTGAGGGAATTACTGAAGTTTGTGATTCAACGTTGTATAGCTAGTACATGGAGGGCAGAGGACAGAAGACAACAAATTGGAGCCTAATAGGGCGCTTGCTCTGTTAGAACATCGTATCAGCTCCCTGAGGGGTGGTGGATGGCGACTTCTTCCTGGGAAGAAGCAGTCTCACAGGATAGATGTGAAGCCAGAGCGCCAAGCACTCTTTTGGTCCCCTCACTCCTGTCTGTCTCTGTCCCTCGTGCAGCTCCAGTACCAGGGCAGCCCCTTTAGTGACCCTGGCTTCTCAGCCCCTGAACTCCAGCTCAGCAGCCTGCCACCTGCCGCCGTTTCCTTCAAGACCTGGCATGCCCTAGATGATGAGGAGCGACTGAACCGTGCCCAGGGGGCCTTCCTGGCCTTGACGCAGCACCTCCAGCTTGTGGGGGATGACCAGAATGACCTGAATCCTGGCAGTCCCATCCTGTTGGCCCAGCTCGGGGCTGCAAGACTCAGGGCCCAAGGCCTGCTAGGCAATATGGCTGCCATCATGATTGCCTTGGGGCTGCCTATCCCTCCAGAAGAGGACACTCTTGGACTTGTCCCCTTTGGGGCCTCAGCCTTTGAGAGGAAATGTAGAGGATATGTAGTGACCCGAGAATATGGCCACTGGACAGACCGAGCTGTGAGGGACTTGGCTCTGCTCAAGGCCAAATATCCAGCATAGAGGTGTAGGACTTCCTGTCAGAGGCTGCAATGTTTCCTCTTTCACAACGGACTATTTTCTGCCTTGTTTCTGAGCTAGAGGAGACACATCTTGTCTAGTAGACAGGGCTTGTGTGCCATGTCTTTGGAACTTTGTGGAAGCCAGGCCTCAACCCCTTATTGCCTGGGCCTTCCTTCCAGATCTGGGGAGAGCTCATGGATCTCAATTTACGAATCACCATTGTGAGGGTACTGGTTGCCCACTTCCCAGTAGGAAAGCAGTGCCTCTCTGCAGGGAGAGGACTGTGGGTCTCCTGGCTAGGCTCTCCCTGAGACCTTCCCCTTCCTGTAATTTTGGGGAGGTTCAGGGGCTGCCTTCCTGTCTCTGACTACCTCACTTCCTGTATGAAGATACGACCATCCTGAGCAGATAGGCCTCCCTCCTTCTTGCTGGAGTTCATCTCCTCCCTAGTCTACCTCCCTGTCTGTGGCTACTGTTCCACTTTCCATCTTAAGGGGCTTCACTTCCTGACCCGTGGAAGTACAATTCTTGAAGCACTAAGGACTCCCATGGCATGTTTCCCGCTTGGACACACCCACTTCCTGTTCTGGGCTGGCAGGTGGCCTCCTGGCCTGGGGCACTCATGAATCTCCTATTTATTCCGTGCCTTTTGGGTATGTCTGGGGGACCAGGAGGCACCCCAAGGATCCTTTTCTCCTCAAAGCTGTGTCCGCATTTTTAACAACTGTATATACAGATAGTTTTATTTTTATTTTTAAACATTTTATTTACAAAAAAATTAATTTATTTTTCAGAAATAAAACTCTTTTAAGGTGTTGCTTTTCTTTCTCTCCACAGACCTGGCTTGTGGCGGGGTGGAGGTGTGCAGGGAAGGGGAGGTGACGGAAGGGAAGGTTATCACGAGGAGGGAGGCCCAACGGGACGGGCTGGCGAGCGTGAGGACAGCAGGTGGAATGACCCCGGCCGGGGGGCGGGGGTGGTGGCTGAGATTAGGAGCAGCCTTGCCACCACAGGACCAGCAGGCACATCCTTGGCCGGGGAAGGAAAGAGAGGGACACAGGGAGCCAGAGAGACAAGGTGTCGCCTCCTTGAGATGAGTTTGAGATGTGCAGTCGCTCGCGGGGGCCCAAGGGGAGACCGAGAGACCCCGGGGACCCGGTAAAGGGGGAGACCAAAAGCGGCGGAGGCAGGCCAAGGATGAGAACACAAGAGGGAGAACAAGAAAGTGGCAGACCCGGAGAAGCGACCTCGGGAGGCAGGAGAAGCGAGGGCGGAGGAAGCCAAGAGGGACGGAGCGCGGGACAGGCCGA